TTTTCTTCAGTTCCACGTCCCTAAACTTAGTGTTAAAGTTGCTTCAAATGTGACGAAGACAAAACACGTGATACGCAAATGGAGGCTGCCAACCGGCATGATCCTTCACAGCCCTGATGATGTTGGGGTGACGATCGGATATTAGACATATACCATGCCTACGTGTGACATGGAAACGCATCTGGCTAAGAAACCACAACCAATCATCCAATCTCTCACCCGGTGGAACAATGGCAAACGCAATAGCAGAATAAATCCATCACCATCCTGTGACGTAGCAATCAATAGGGTACCTTTGTATTTCCCGTACAGGTGCGTGCCATCAATTTGGATTATAGGTTTACAATATTTGAAAGCCTCAAAGCACTGGTGAAAAGTCCAAAATACCCTGCGAAAGACAGCCTTATCGGTGTAGACACGTCGTTCGTCACAACACTGGTCCGTATCAATCTTGAACACAGAACCAGGATTAATCTGTGTCATGTAGGTCAGCCAACCAGGTAAGATGGCATATGATTTTTCCCAGTCGCCAAACAACTTCACAATGGCCTTCATTTTAGCCTTCCAAGTCTTCCTATAAGATATGTTGTATCCATACAAACTTTGTACCCTCTCCTGAATAAGAACTGGTTTCGTGGATGGATCTTCTTTTAACATACCTATACAAAATTCGAAGTCAACACAATCAATAAATATACCGAAAAATTAAACCATAAACAAAAATTCTGTAATACATACTTATAATGGCTGCACAGATTACATTAGAATCCAGCTGTCTATGGTCCCGAGTAAGGCCTTGGTTTAGGCAGGTGTGTTTTTTAACCCACCTACTAACAACCCAACTATTTTCATTCTTGGAAAACATAGCCCACACGTACCAGGGACAACCATCATTATGGTGTCGACACTTCATCACAAATCTATGGTCATCACTTTTTAACACCACAGCAGTACGATGAGACTTCATACAATATAATTTGACTGCATGTTGCATTTCAGATTTAGTTCGAAACTCCTGGTACAAATATAATGGATCCTCTAAATGCCAGCCACCGTGGATGTCATCGTCGCCATACAATATCTCCGTCTCATCATTAGGGTGAGCCCAATTAATGAAAGAATAGTGTGGGCTGTCGTTCCAAAATGGCTCAATCTCAGAACCTACGTCCAAATTTAAACTTATCCGTCAGTACGAAATAAAACACAAATATATATATGCAAAATTAAAACTTTAATTTACAATCTTACCACTGCTAACAGGGTCAACACGGAGTGGTGGCATAACCTGGGAACTCAAGTTTCCTGAACTAGTATCAGCGTCAAAATTCCCCTCTACGTCCGTATCTGAGGTGTCACCCAGCGGAATAACACTCTCGGGTTCACCATCGTCTTCACTGTCCATATCCTCGTCATGCTCATCCTCATCCTCGTCTATTTCCCTCAGTGTTATCTGACTTAAGACAGGTGCAGGTGCAGATAAACCGACCACTCTGTCTTCTTGACTTTGACTTCTTCCATGCACATGTGCAGATGAAGATTGACCAGAGTTTATTTCAACATATATCTCAATAAAGTTTTGAAATTTTCGGTCCACAAATGCATCTATGACACAGTCCATATCTTCATCGTCATATATATCATTACCAATGTAGAATATAGCATCCTTACCAACTGTAGACTCTACCCTGGCGATCATCCGTTGAACGCCATGGTTGCCGTGTAGCCCCAATTTTTGGTGAATCCTCCCCTTCAGCTCATTGTACGTAGTGCCCCGTTTGATTTTCAACATTTTCGTTTTTCCTTCAAATTGAACACCGTTGGGGCCTTCATAATGCTTTCCATCATAGTAAATCATGGTAACATACATGTTTGGACTTGAGCTCATCTTTCACACGAATTTTGAGGGTAGGAATCGAATTTTAGGGTTTTGGGTTCAGATTTGGGGGAAAACAATTAAGAAATAGAAGGAAATGACAATGATTTCACAATTACTATGCCTTAGAGGTGGTGGGATGAAATTGAAGGGTGATTGGAAGGATCACAGCTGACAAACAAGAGAAATAGGAGTTTTGATTTCGAATATAATGAAAATGAGACCGAGAGAGGTCTGGATATAGGGTTTTCTGCGATATTTAGTCGACTAAATAATGGGCTTAGTCGACTAAAAAAGCAACGAATGTAGTCGATTAAGGTGAGTACTTAGTCGACTAAAATTCGCGTTTCATGATTTCTGAGTTTTGCCCATTTAGTCGATTAAAAGTGCAACTTAATCGACTAAATGGGGGCAGGATGGTGGATAGTTCTGGGGGAGGGGCAAATTGGTTATTAATTATTTAATGAGGGGCAAAAGGGTCAAAAAGCCTAATTAATTCCTCTCATAAAAAAATCCTAGCTCCACCCGTGTGTGACAACGAGTGGTGTTCATATCGCGACAATATTAATATAAACACAGATATACTTAACCTGAAACACGAATAAATATCAGTATTGTTTACCGGAAAAAAAAAACCAGTATCAAAATGTTTGACACAAACATGATATGTTTATTACACAAGTTGACATGACAAAAAATAATAATCTTCAACCTATGTACTATATGTTTTAGGCACTAACATATACGTGTCGACACGACACAACACAAATAACTTGTATATTGTATGAAAATTACGTGAATAATATTAAAGTAGTATATAAAAAATAGGTTAAATACTTAATTAAGTAATTATGGTTTAGTTTTGGGTGTGTGAGTGGACATAATATAATTTTTTTGTAAATACAAATATGAGACGAAAATAAAAGAATGGTAATTTATAATTGTAGTATATTATAGTATAAAAGAAGGGTAAGTTACGAGCTTAAATTTGGCGCTCCCGGCCCATGGGTGATTGGGTGGGATGAAGGAGAGAGAGAGTGAAAGAGAAATTGAGGAGAGAGAAGAGAAAAAGGAGAAAAAATAAATAAAAAATCCATGTGTCACCTCCTTAATGGAAGGACCATGAAGGGGCAGGAGCATATTAAAAATTTCCAATTTCTACACACCACAACCTCTAGCGAAATATTAAAAAATACCAAATCATTGAGATCCAACGAGGATAACCTAATCAACCTTATTACTTAGGATGCTCTAGGCCAAACAGTATGGACAGACACATGTGCTCGTAAATGCAGGCACAAAGAAAGTTGATTAGGGCACAACTTGGGGCATTATTTTCTTGAAAGAATCAAGGGCAATTACGCGGTGATCGGGGGAGGAAATGGATTAATGAAACGAGAAGAAAAATGAGAAGTGGAGAAATGCAGGATCATTTATTGTTGGAGAATCGGGGGAGCCTATAATTGAAGAAGAACTACGAAGCCATTATAGTTAGTCTAGTAGTGGTGGGGATGGATAGTGGATAGTAGATAATAGGTACTGTCACGGCGAGATGCTACAAAACAAAAAACCACAAAATCCGATTCAATTTATCGTAATCGATTAGTTAACATGTTGGTTAACCGTATTCTGAAACACGAAAAAAAAATTCATTGGCTTATCAAATTATCTATCGAGCTATGAAAGAGATTCAACAAAAGACATAAACAAATCCACTATCTGTTTTATGTCAAGCAATACGTGGAGTTCGATTTCCATTGTATTCAAAAAGAAGATCTATCATTAAATGAGTTAAGAAAAAGAGTTTCTATCAACTTCATTTGTCACATCTAAACCAAGAAACTTAAAACATTGAGTTTATGGATCATTTTACTTATATAGTTCACATTTAACATATTTTTAACTAATGTGAGATTTCACTACTCATATTTGGATTCTCATCCCAACATTATTTGTTGTTGCTCATGCGGAGGCTTCTTCAAATATTCATGAGATTATATCAAGGCTTGGTTCTGCTTATCAAGGCTTTGACTTCTTATAATGAGCTTGAAAGATTGACAAAATCGAACACTAACCATATCATTTCCAATTACTCAACATACATTAAGGTTTGTCAATCATTAAGCTCTAATATCAATGTTGGGTAATGGGGGGAGTCCACAGTAGAAGGAGATTTATCATCAAATGGGTTATGATACAAACTCTCTATTACAAGTGAGATCGAACTCCACGTCTTAACTTAAAATCTTAAGCCATTAAATTTATAGATTCTTCCACTTATATGACATTCACTTAGCACATTTTTAAATTTTTAAGTAATATAAATCTTCAAAACTCCCACTTGAATTCACATTCTAACATTCAATGACGATTAAAATAATGCAATTGTGAGTGACCTGGCTCTAACGATTCGATGATGATGCTCACAGGTGCAAGTGAAAAAGACTCGTCCTAAACCAATTAGGGATCTCACGTCATTTAATGATTTAGGTCTCTTAATACAAGCACCCGAGCAACTCGAAAAAAAAAAAAAAACATAAGAGGCCGAAATAATTTTGACCTCCCAAGGTAAGTTAATTAAAATTAAGTCCAAATGTAACATGAACGGTTCATAAAATTAAATAATCACTTACGTGATTTATAATAAACAAATATTTTTCAATTTAACAATTAATTAAAAACAATTATATTATTTGACTTATGAGATACATATGTTTAAAAATCTAGTGATATGTTATATTTTTCTGTGATAATTATATTCTACTTAATTTGACATTGGTGTTTTTTACATAAATTAAGATAAAGTTTAAGAACTTTATTCATACTTTTTTATCTATAAACTGGCATTCACTTATCATAGTCCATTTATCATTGCACTTTGCGTACTGTATACATGTTTTTCTTATCATTGTCCATTTATCATACACAAGTCTACATACGCTGATACGCTTTAGCCCATAGTTTATTTTTGCCCGTAGTCTAAAGTAAAGGGAAGAAAAGTTCATTCTTTGGATTTGGAAGCATTTTTTCACCTCGACACCGTATATGCCACGTAACATTTTCCACTTCAATACGCACACGACAGTGACGCCACGGAAACGCGGAAAGATTCAGAAACATACAACAACTCGGTTTTTTCTCTTACCCGAGACCGAGTCCGACTCGGCGGGCGAAGAAGGCCAACTCAGTAATCTTCCTTCCTTTACAATTAACAGTTACACCATTTAACCATTTTTCCCGCACACAACACAAACACTGACACACACACACACACACATTTCTCTCACTACACAGAGTTAGGGATTTAGAGAGAGAGAGAGAGAACCCTCAGTGTCAGGCTCAGACGTAACGTGCATTTCTCATTGGCACAATACAACCGACACCATCACGCCGTTTTCACATCCACGTGGTTTACTGATCCATCGTCGTCGTTTTCGTCTTCAATCAGTTGGTTGAGAATCCCAAGACTTAGAGCTGGAGCCGCTACAAGATCCCAAGCAATTGAAGGCTCCGCCCGCCGCCGCCGCCTCCTCCAACGGTCAGATCCGGTACCGATCGCCATCCTCCGCCGAGCTCTTCGACGGACAGGCCTGTAGCAACTCTCCGCCGTCGCACGCCGCCGATCAGCACCTGCCGGAGTTCTTCGAGTCGAGCAAAATGCTGAAGCGCGCCGGCCGCCAGGAGTCTCTCTCCGACAAGATCTACAGGTTCCGAGGGACTCTGCTGGTGGTCTTGATCCCTCTCGTTCTCATCACTTTCGTCCTCTACATGATGCCATCGAGCACCTCCAACGAGTCAGTTGGAGACTTCGCCCTCGTTAATCGGAAAATGTCCCCCGATAAGAAATCCGGTAGCTCCTTCGCCGTTATCTTCGACGCCGGCAGCTCCGGAAGTCGTGTGCACGTCTTCCACTTCGACCAGAACCTAGATCTCGTTCACATTGGCAAAGATCTCGAGCTTTTCGTGCAGGTCAAATCAAATTTTTCCTTTTTTTTTTTTTTTTTTTTTTGCTTCTCATTCTGTTCTTTTGTGTTTTGCAGCTTAAGCCGGGTTTGAGTGCGTACGCTCAGAATCCGCAGCAGGCAGCAGAATCTCTGATTTCGCTTTTAGATAAAGCGGAGAGTGTTGTTCCTCGTGAATTGCGATCCAAGACACCCGTTCGAGTTGGTGTGAGTGTTTTTTTTTTAATTATTTTGGTCTACTGCATCGGTGCGTGTATTAATTTTATTTTCTGAGTTTCTGTGAAGGAAAATTGAATTGAAATTTAATGCAGGCAACTGCGGGTTTGAGGGCTTTGGAAGGGGATGCATCTGATAGGATCTTGCAAGCGGTGACTATTGCTGCGTCTTTCTCAATTTCATTGGTTTTAGCAGCCATACGCATTTTATTTTAATTTAACTATTTGTTGCTTCGAATTTCATTAATTTAAGGTAAGGGATTTGCTTAAGCAAAGAAGCACCCTGAAATCTGAGCCTGATGCGGTCACGGTGCTGGATGGAACACAAGAAGGTGCTTTTCAATGGGTATGATTTATGAACTTAATGTTATAATGTGATTGGCTTTAAATGGATTGCCTATATCTTTATGTCATTTACTATGAATGCATCCTGACTAGAGGAGAATCGACAAACTTTTACAGACATAGATCATATTGTTAAAACTGTATACTAGAATTGCATAGGGACTTGAGGAATATTAACTAGGTTTTACTAACATAGATCAGACTTTTAAAACTGTCTCTTATTAGATTACATGATGGTTTATGGTGATTGTGGAATTTGAATACTGTACAATGGTGTTTCTATTAGATGTAGTTTTCTGTTTCCTCTTTTAATATAGTTCTTTTATTAAAAGGAAAGAAACCAATTTGCTTAAATACATTTATTCATTTCTTAGTATATACATAATTCCATATATAATACAGTAGTTTAAACTACTATTTTGGACTTTTTAGTCCTGTGCTTTGATTGGGTTTTTATTTTGATTCCTGAACTTTCAACCGTGCTTCTTGTTGTATTTTTCTCAAAAGGTGCAAGTTGGTCCCTCTATTGGCTACATTACAGAGCTAGAAACTAATTAATTTGACAAGTTTATTGAGTTGTTCAACACAATATCAAGCAGTCAGGTACAAGAAAGGAGGATAAGGAGTCCTCCTAGATTCAGCCAGAAAAGAAAAAATAAAGCAGTTGTAAAAAATGCATTTGTTCTAAATAGCTCCAATCCCTTTAAAGAGAGCTCTAGCACATAACATGAGAGGGATGGAACTCTACATACTTAACTCACCGACTGTTTATGTCCTTATTGTTTTCAGAAAGAATGACTTTTACCAAAAAATGTTACCTTACTTTTTAGATGTGCCATGGGATTTAATTTCTGATACAGTCTGTAGTGTCACGGCAGGCAAATGTACAATGAATACTATTTTGGTTACAAAGTTTGTAGTACTTTTTTTGTTTGGTTGTACAGTAAGGGCATCCTCTGGTCAGCTAGTGCATGTTTGTTTCACTTGACTTTTGAGGAAATAATTTTGTTTTTCAAAAGCTCTCTCAGGAAGCTGCAAAAAAAGAAGCTATTATTTCTCTAAAATAAAATAACCCAAACATGCACTTAGTATTGCTATTTTAGTTTGAAGAAAGCTGTTAATAAATGTCTCATCAGCTAATTTCATATTGGTGAGAAGCTATTGGTGACCAAATTGTAACATTAATAAAAAATGCGACTAACATTATAGTTTAGTCATTATTGTATTTTGAAATTTGAACCTATAAAGTCTATAGCTCTTGTCTACAAAGTCTTTCCACATTTTCAGAAACAGAGCTGGCAAATTTGTGATGTGCTGTATTTCTGTAACTGCATATTTCTTTATAAAAGGGGCAGGCCAACCATCTGGATAGCTCCAATTTTATGTGAAAATTTCAATTGGACTAGGATTGCTTTTGTTATTTATTGCCTTGGGGAAATTAATTTCAAATATGGGTGTGAAGGGTTACTTGCTTTACAATTTTTAGGGCAAGTTAGTGAAGTTTGAAATATTATAATCCCACTTCATGATCATGAGATACTGCCCTTTTTTAGTTGGTTGTAGAGCTGTTCATAGTGGTCGTTGGCTTACATATATTGCAAGCTCTCCTGGAATATGTACTTAAAAATGCAATTATGAAATTTGTTAAATATATTCAGTTATACATATGTTACAGTTGATTAAATCTAGTTCTCCCCCCCTCCCTCCACACAAAAGTTTCATTCCTCTGAAGGAAATATTATCAGAGTTGGCATGTACTTAAAAATGCAATTATGAAATTTGTTAAATATATTCAGTTATACATATGTTGCGGTTGATTAAATCTAGTCCTTCCTTTCATTCCTCTGAAGGAAATGTTATCAGAGTTGGCATGACATCGTTAGACATGGCTGATAAATAATCCTAGTTGCTTATACTTTGTACCTGATTACCTCTGGATTACAATCACATGACCTTTCACCCCAACGTTTTTTCTTCTATATTTTGTTTCTCACTTGGAGTTGGAGATGTATTTCATTTGATGTATGTCTTGCATATGCTCTCAAATATTGAATACTGCGTTGACGGGTGTTTTGCTTTCTTTTATTATTCCAAAATGTTTTAAAGCCGATAGATTGATGTATTGCTAAAGGATAATGTGTTTATTATAAAAAAAATGATCTTTTCTGTGTAAAATATGTGATATAATCATTTAGCTATTTAAGTAGTCTTCGTATGTTTGTTTCCTGTATATAACTTAGGGGAATTGTTTTCTTATATTACATAAGATAAAAACACTTTCCTACACTCACATATAAAGAAATGGGACCCATTTATACATTTTCTCTCTCCCATATTCTCTCTCATCTCTCCTCTACATGTGTGTGTAGGAAATTTTTGTTATCTTATGTAACATAAGAAAACAATTTCCCTATAACTTAATTCACAAATAGCATAAAGAATTTGTAATTTAATAGAATAAAAGAGGATGGATATTTTACTGACAGAAAAATATGTTGTATGAAGTCTAAATCTATATAATATTCATATATCTTCATCTTTATTTTTTATTTATTTATTTTTTTGTAAATAATCTTCATCTTTCTTTCTAATTACAATTCTAGCAATATGCCAGAATCCTAATGAAACGTTTTTTAGCAGTAATATTCTAGGAAGGATGACTAGTGGCATCACATTGGCAGTTTTTTCCTTTTTAAGAATTTTAAATAGTGATAGGCAGTACTATAAGCGTTTTAAAATAGGGATGAAGATGGACAATATTATTAGAGTTATAATAGTTTTAAGTTTGGGATTAGCATTATTATCAGAGTTCTAAAATAAGGATGATCTGAACTCTGAAATATGTGGGATTGACTATTGTTCCTGATTGTTAGATTCTGAAGACTTGCGTGTAATTCTACTATGAGGCGAAAGAGGCCAAGATATTTCAAACTATGGTTCATTCTGACAAATGTAAAACATTTCAGTTATTGTTCCACAGGATAATTTTTGCTGTCGTAACCTAACAATGAAAGGCTCTAGGTTCCCCTGTGTAAACAAAATTCCTTCATCTACTGTTTTATTTAACACAATTGAATTTTGCTTTTTCTATTTGAAGAGGGTACCGTCAATTCTTAGATGTATCAGATAAATGTGATTTATTTAGAACTCTAAATCTTAAGGAATGGTCATCCTCAGAACACTAGAAAGCTAGAGATCTTATATTTTCTTCGAAAGTTAATATACTGAATATATGCTCAGATAGCTTTTCCTACCCGCCAAAGTCATGCATACTGCAAGAAAACATTTGTCTAGTACGAAAGTGTATTAATTAAAAGCATCAATCTGAACTACTAGTTGTAAGGGAATTAAGAACTTTGTGTACTCTCTCTACAAAAGAATTGATGCAGTATTTTGTTTGTCTTATCTTTGCCATTTGTTTTATTTTAGGTTACTATTAACTATCTATTGGGAAACTTGGGAAAAGATTACTCAAAGACTGTTGGGGTAGTTGATCTTGGAGGAGGATCTGTTCAAATGGCTTATGCCATCTCTGAGGCAGATGCGGCCATGGCTCCCAAAGTACCAGATGGAGGGGACCCATATGTCAAGGAGATGTTCCTGAGGGGAAGGAAATACTACCTATATGTTCACAGGTTTTTATACTTGCTCTTGATATGCCCGTGCGAGATGTCATATTTTTTACGGTCTCTGGGAGCATTAACTCATTGACCTGTGTACTTCCACCTTGTAGTCTTTTTCATGATACTATTCAGTATTCACATAGATAGATATTCTGCAATAAAATGTTCCATGGCTAATAGATTTATACATCTTGCTTTCAGTTACTTGCACTATGGTTTACTAGCAGCCCGTGCAGAAATTTTAAAGGTTTCTGGTGATGCAGAAAACCCTTGTATCTTATCTGGCTATGATGGTAAATATAGCTTCTCCTTTCTGTATGCCTGGTGCTATTTTGATGCCAGAGTTACATTTCAGTTCTTTTGTTTAACCTTTTATTAGTCGATAGGGAATAAAAAAACTGAATTTTTTTTTTCTTGAAACTACATTTCAGTTCTTTTGTTTAACCTTTTATTGGTGTTTTTTTTTTTTTAAGTTAAAAGTCAAAACACAAAGCAGAAACAACTGCAGTATGTTCTCTACAACTGTAATATGTTCTCTAAAAAAAAGAACAGGTTTTTCTTATTCTGAAAATTTAAAAATTGTTTTTGGAAACAGAATTCAAACATACCCTAAATTTTTTTATATACTTTTTCTTCGTGCTTTATAATTCTGATAACAAGTGGGTTTTTTTTTTTTTTTTTTTTTTTTTAATTTTTAGACTCTTACAAATATGGAGGAAAGTCGTTTAAGGCTAAATCCTCTCCTTCTGGGTCAAGCTTGAATGAATGCAAAAGCGTAGCTCATAATGCTCTCAGAGTTAATGAGTCAACATGTACACACATGAAGTGCACTTTTGGTGGGATTTGGAATGGTGGAGGGGGAGATGGACAGAAAAACCTTTTTGTTGCCTCGTTTTTCTTTGACCGTGCTGCTGAGGTATTTATTATTTTATTCAACCTTGAAACAAGTGTTGATAGCCATTGCTTCTAATGCCACTGCATTGTCATTCTAATCACTCGCATTATTTTACTCATAGGCTGGTTTTGCTGATCCAAACTCACCCGTTGCGATTGTTCGACCTGCGGATTTTGAGGATGCAGCTAAGCAAGCTTGTCAAACAAAACTTGTGAATGCCAAATCCACTTATCCACATGTTGATGAAGGGAACCTTCCATATATTTGCATGGATCTTGTATACCAGTATACATTGCTTGTTGATGGATTTGGTAGGTTTTATTCAGACGTTGGCATTGTTATACATGATAATGATGTTTATACGAAGTTTGAGTAATGGTGTTATCTTCCTGCACTGATTACTTCCATTTGTTGGCAGGCATATATCCATGGCAAGAGATTACATTAGTGAAGAAAGTTAAATATGATGATGCCCTTGTTGAGGCAGCATGGCCCCTAGGCAGCGCCATAGAAGCTGTCTCATCTACGTAACCGCACCAGTATCATCACTTGGATTACTCATCCGAAATCTTGGGGCACAACGAGTTTTATCACAAGGATTTTGTGGTGAATTACTGTCATTCATGTTAATCAGAAATTACTTTCAGGCTGAATTGAGATTGGATATGGATCTACATTTCAGGAATAATGGGAGATGATAGCTTCATTATTTGTCTTATGTAATTAATTCGCAATATATCTGATTTACAGTTCTGGAAGATTCATTCGATTCATTGAGTGCTTCTTTATATTTTTTTGTCTTAGGAGATGAACAAAATGGTGATACTTTCACCATTTCATTTTTGTTTCTCTAAATGGTTTCATTCGTGATAATAGTTAATACTTTATTTCTTCTAATTTCATTGTTGACCCAGACCTAGCATGCCACTTGCTGGAGTGTGGGTCTAAAGATTCGTGTAACTCTTCATTATTATCATTTCTTGTTTCTTGATTCCAACTTAATCGAATGCCTCGTCACTAGGGGTGTGCATGACAACCTTCCCAGAATGAGTTTTTTTTTAATTTCTGTTCTCGGGAACAAAAATGGATGAGAATTGCGTTTGATAAAATCGGTTTATTTTTTTGTTCCAGGGATGAACCGGTTTTTTTTTATGCTGGGGAACAAAAAAAAGAATCAATAATTTTCTGCTTTTCTAATTCTGGGCACAAAAAGAGAATCAGTTTTCTCTCACACTCTCACCCACTCACTGACTATGGCAGCGTACCAGAACAACCCCTTTTGAATGGTTATTCTGTCTCCCACTTGGTATTCGTCCCTCTGGTCTTCTTTTGGTCCTACGTTTTTTCTATCTCTCTTGTTTTCTCCATCTGTTCTCAAGGCGTGATGACCTTTTGGTTTATGAATTGGGTAGGAAGGTTCATGCTTTGGTGTTGGTTGATGGGTTGGAGTCGGATATTTATGTGGGCAATTCTCTCCTTTCAATGTATTCTATGTTTGGTGATATGGGAACTGCCAGGATGCTGTTTGATAAAATGCTGCCTGTGAGGAATTTAACTTCTTGGAACACTGTTTCCTAATGAAGTAACTGTTATTGCTGTTTTTGCAGGTTTATGGGCACCCATTTTGGACAGAAATTGAGTTACCTAGGTAATCCTTTTCGTTCACCGTGAATTGCCAGATGTTGTTATTAGTAAACAATTCCAAACCTGCAATTTCTTGTAATACAGCAACCCAATACCCAATGAAATTCTAATTCTCAGAATGAAAAAAGAAATTGTGTTAACAAACGTAATTCTAATTCTCGGAGGAAAAATAAAATATGTTAACAAACGTAATTCTAATTCTCAGAACTCTTCCAAAGCACAGAAATAGAAAAAAAATCATTTTTTTCAGAAACAGTGCCAAGAATTAGAATGGTTGTCATGCGCAGCCTAGAAATCAAGTATGTTCTTGAGATCACGTGAATCGAACAATTTCTGTTGACATATTCTTTACCTAACTCTAAGTGACAATTTATTTATTTATTTTCTAAATTATAAGTATCTTTTATCAGAGGTAATCTTGTTCGGGACAGGTCTAAGATTAAGGTTTTAAATCTTTTCTAAATATGGTATTGAGAAAGATCGAATACATGCTTTCATTTAGGGGTGTTCGCAGTCTGGATTAGATCGATTTTATAAGTAAAAATCATCTAATCTAATCCTTTCGGTTTGATCATGTAATAATTTATTCAGTTTGGATTTTTTTTCAAATCCGATTTAATTCAGTCCAATTTTTTTTTTGGTTTAGATTGTATAGGTTTTTGGTTTTTTAAAAAATCTAAAAGTTGTTTGATGATTATTGTGCAAATAACATATTTTTTGTATGAGTTTGTTTTTTCTGATGTTACTGTAGATAACTTTATCTAATGTTCATCAAAACGACGTCGTTTTGGGACGGAAATCATGGTATTTTTGTAATTTTAATTTATTTCAGGGTTATAATAGTATTTATCACTCTAATTTTTTAATTTTTCAATCCAAAACGACGTCGTTTCGATGAACATTAGATAAAGTTATCTAAAGTAACATCGGAAACTTTTTTCCCTTTTTGTATATATTAGTTTTGTAAAGTTTTTGTTGTTGAAATACAGAAACATCAATAAGTAGGTAAAAAAGAATTAATATATTGGATCGGTTTTCACCAACCAAACCGAAAATCGATCCAATTCAATTAAAATTTGTGATTTTTTTTTCGATTTTTTGGTTTTCGGTTCGTTCACCGCAGATTGAATTGGTTTGGATCGATTGATGAACACCCCTACTTTCACTCCCACCTACTTAGTTTCCATGCGCCAACTGAGCTATCATCATTTGGAAAGAGACAATTTATTGTTTAGGGTTTAGGTAGGGGGAGAGCATAAAAGTCCTGTTTCGAGATGGATCCAAGATTAAGTGACAATTTATTATTTTACGTACATTGCAACTTTTATCTTTTGAAAAAGTCTAGAATTAGCCATATCTCACATGTGCTGGAGACAATATGAGTGGGTATGTGTTTCTACATGTTCATATAATATTGAAGGATAGATTATTTATTCATCTTTTTTTTATGCCTACATTCCTATTATTATCCAATATCATTAGATCAGAATCTCAATAGAAAAGAGAAATGATAAAAGGTTAGTTGAGATTCTTATCTAACGATATTGAAGATTTATAGATAAGATATATATGAAAAAAAATATAGATAGAATAACTTATCCCTAATATTAGTCAAACATAAAATATTAATATAGAAGTTAAAAAAAAACTATTGATGTTTATAAAATAAATATGTATACTAGAAAAGGCATATGTCATTGCAACATTTCAAAAAAAGAAAAAGAAATGTAAAACGTTCCTTGTACATGTAACCGAAAATGACATTTTATCCTATTTTTTAAGTTATCAACAAAGGATCAATGTTCCTACACATAAAAGTGTGGGACCCATCTATTCTTTCCCCTCTTCACATGGTCTCACATAGGGGTGCTAAACGAACCAAGCGTCTTTGGCTACGCTCGTGAATGCTTGAGCTTATATGTTTAAAATTGGTTGTTGGCACAAGGCTTGAACTTGTATAAAAACTCGTTTAATAAAAAGGCCTCAGACTCTAATTCAAAAGCTCGGACTTAGAGCCTCTCAGGCTGACCTAGTATATTATTTTTTATTTTTATTTTATATTTTTTATACTACTTGTAATAGCACTTTCTTTCTCCTCAATCCATTTCACCTCATTTTATTGGTTAAACAGACTTTTTAAATGATTTTGTGCTATATTATGCTGCTTGGATATACATTGAATTTATAAATATTTATAAAATTACTAGTGTTGTTGATTGTATATTCTGTTTGGATAAATTTTGGTTGTCTTATTTTTTTTTAAACAGGCTAAACCAGACTTTTATTTTTTGTAAATAAGCCAAGCCACAGGCCGATAGTTATATTTATAACAGGTAACAGACTTGATCAGGCTGACACTTTTAAACACAGGCTTAGCCTTTTAAGACCAAAGTTCGGCTCGTCTCGGCTCGTTAACACTCCTAGTCTCACATAAGCCTCACATTTTTATTTGTGTATAAGAGATAAATTATCTGCTACAACATGATAAATACTAATCCTTATAAACAAACATATTAAGGTTTTTGTATGATAACGGTATTTTAGGGATAACATTTTCATAAATTGAAACTAAATCGTGCTCTTACATAATTAGAGGCTTACCTCAACATCAACATGATATATTTAGGAGAATAGATTTTCTCAAGTGTTGATCCATAGACTATAGTTTAAACTTGAGTATTTAAGATCCAAAGAGTGTAAATGGACCAGCTGACCTAATAGGGACTTATGGCTCGACCTATATCAGGTCAGACTCAGCTTATTACATATAATCAAATAGAATATACCCAAACATAAAAGAACCATATTTAGAAAGTAGGCCATAGACTTTCTTTTACATGTCGGGCCTATTAGGGCCAGCCTATGTTATGTTATTTATTTTAAATAAAATAAAAAAATATTTTAATGATTTTTGAATAATAAAGTAATATTATTTTAATTTTTTTAATTATTGAATTGTTAATATGCTTAAACAAGCTAACAAGACTAGATCAATCCTTTTGTTTTTTAAATATAGGATAAGCCAAACTTATAATATGAGCATGTATAAGACTAATAGATCAGGTCAGGTATAATATATTTTACACAAATTTAACTTCTTTATAGCAAAATCTAACCTAGCCCGGTCCAGCCTATTTATTCCTGAAAGCATACTTTGTTAGTCAATAGATCAAGTGCATTGGGCTACGTAGATTTCTTTCATGATCGAATAAAGCCTTAGGTACACATATATAAAATGGTTACTTTTTGCACTGAATGCAGATAAGTTATCTGTATTGAGCTTAAAACGATATCGTTTTGGAGCAAAAATCAAGCTATTTTTGTAATTATAATTTATTCCAAGGTTATGACAGTCTTTATTATTGTATTTTTTTAATTTTTTAACCCAAAACGACTTCGTTTTGAGAGTGAATATAGATAACCTACATAAAAGTATACTTTTTTTATGAAAGAACCTATACATAAAGGGTTATATTTATCTTATGTTACATAAGATAAACAAACTTCTTACACACATAAAGTGAAGATGAGTCCTACATTTATTTTTTTTCTCCCCTTATATGTGGATCTCACTTATAATTTTATTTCTATAACATGAAATAATGATTTTCGTACGACATAATATAAATATAACCCATACATAAAATTTGGTGGGGGGCGGGGGGGCGCTTTTATTTTAAGGGTCTTAACTTTTATATGTTCCAATTAGAAACTAAATACCTTCAATTCAATTTCCATTTATGAATGGACCATTTAATTGTACAAACTCCAGGTAAACAAGCGCCTAATTTTTATTTCCTTTGGATTACAGATACGAACCCGAAAATTTTTTCAACAAGAGGGATAAGTTGTGGCCCGGGGCCCAACCTTCATCAGTAGCGTAGTGTTTACTGTCCTTAACGTGAACATATATTTGGTATGGCATTCTTTCTCTACAGTTCGCGCGAAATAGGATGTTTCCTTATTGAAATCATTCCATGAAACCTGTGATTCTTGTGGACGCCACGGTACACGTGCCCTGCTTTTGATGTACAAGTTGCTCTGTTCCTCAATTGGCTTTGCATTTCTTTGTGCCATTTTCACAAACACCTTTCGCTCAAGGTTTCAGAACCGAATAAATTGGGTAATCTTATCTTGACGCTCTATCCAATTTCGATAAACTGAAGTGGCTTTGCTTATTTGTTAATCATGATCAGAATCAGATCTAACCTATCTGTTTTCCCTGTTGTGCTACTACGCATCAGCCAGAACTCACTCGCTGTTAATCACTGTCATATAGTTGAGCAGCCCCTTATGGGTGCTGCTTTCAATTTGTTAAACCCTCCAAAGTCTGAAACTTTTTCAGCTCCACCCAAATTTGGTTTCTCTGTCAGGCTTTTTTCTACTTCATCTTCAATCAGAAACCTTGGGGTGGATACTGATGCCCCTGCACCAGGATTGGATGGGGCCTCAAGTGATGATGATGAGGATGAGGAAGAGGAAGAGGAAGAGGATGATGGCAATCATAAGAATGATGATAAAAATGGTACCCATTTTAGTCAGTTGCATTTAAAGGATGATGGTCTTGCCCAAGATGTTAAAACCATTTTGGATATTATTCATGAACCGGGTTCTGGACCATCCCAAATTAAGCACAAGCTTGAGAGTTGCAGTGTTATGGCATCTTCAGAGCTGGTTGTGGAGGTCCTTTCGAGAGTTCGCAATGATTGGGAAGCAGCCTTCACCTTTTTCTTGTGGGCTGGCAAGCAACCGGGGTATGCTCATTCGGTTCGCGAGTACCATTCTATGATCTATGTCCTTGGCAAAATGAGGAAGTTTGATACTGCCTGGTCCTTAATTGAGGAAATGAGAGGAGGTAGAACTGGTCCATCTCTTGTCACCCCACAAACTCTCTTGATTATGATCAGAAGATACTGTGCTGTACATGATGTTGGAAGGGCTATAAATACTTTCTATGCGCATAAAAGGTTTAACCTTCAAGTTGGGCTAGAGGAATTTCAAGGCCTTCTTTCTGCCCTTTGCCGGTACAAGAATGTGCAAGATGCTGAGCACTTGATGTTCTGCAACAAAAATGTTTTCCCATTTGACACTAAATGTTTTAACATTATTCTGAATGGATGGTGTAATTTGATTGTTAGCACACGTCAAGCAGAAAGAATTTGGCAGGAGATGAGCAAGAGAGGAATCCAATATGATGTTGTATCCTATGCAAGTATCATATCTTGCTATTCAAAATCTTCTAAACTTTACAAGGTGTTCAAGCTATTTGACCAGATGAAGAAAAGGAATATCATTCCGGATAGGAAGGTTTACAATGCAGTCATTCATGCTCTTGCAAAGGGTCGTCTTGTGAAAGAAGCTGTCAATCTCATTAGAACGATGGAAGAGAACAATGTTACTCCAGATGTTGTTACTTTTAACTCCCTGATCAAGCCTCTCTGTAAAGCCCGCAAAATTGATGAAGCTAAAGAAATTTTTGATGAGATGTTGAAGCGGAGTCTATCTCCATCAATTCGTACTTTTCATGCCTTCTTCCGTATATTAAGGACCAAGGAAGAAGTATTTGAGCTTTTGGACAAAATGAGAGAGCTGGGATGCCACCCAACTATTGAGACTTACATAATGTTGATAAGAAAGTTTTGCCGATGGCGCCAACTTGATGATGTCTTTAAGATATGGAATGCGATGAGGGAAGGTGGAATCAGCCATGACCGTAGCTGTTATATTGTACTGATTCATGGGCTGTTTCTGAATGGAAAGCTGGAGGAAGCATACAAATATTATATAGAGATGCAAGAGAAAGGCTTCCTCCCTGAACCTAAGACAGAACAAATGCTTCAGGCATGGGTTTCTGGTAGACAGGTAACAGAGGGCCAGGTGACAACACATTTAGAACACAATCAATTGGAACATGATGCTCTTGCAAAGAAAGTCAAGGCCACACCCAGTAAATTTGATAGGGAAAAAGCTTTTCTTCGCCAACCTGAGACCAGAAGAGTAATAAGAGAACGGGGCTTTTCTCTCTGGGAGCAGTAAATATAAATCCTTATCTAACAAGAGGTCTGATGACACTTTCTTCGGCATACTTTTCAAATTTGATTGTATTAACCAGACAGGTGCATGTCATGCTCTTTTTTTGGTGTATATCCAGACTTCAACTGTCTTACCATAAGCAAGAGTTGCCAGGTTGGTGCAATTCATAAACAACTCAAGTTTGTTAATTTTTATACAATTGGAAACTTTGGGTTAAAATTATAGTGATCTAAATGGAATGAGCACTCTGCCTTTGGATGGATTGGCTTCCAGGTAATTGGAATGAAATACGCAATTTTGCCAGATGCATGAGAACTCAATGATGTAATAATTTATCACCGATGGAGCTGAAGAGGGAGTGCAGGAGAGGGATGTAGTATGGTGTAGAAGTGGTTTACACATTGTTAGAATCTGTAAACTTTACTGCTAAGTTGATTCTTATTAAAATGATTTCTGAAAGAATTTGTGGATACACTTGCTAGATCCCGTGAGTTTTAAGTTTTTTAAATTTGTATGTAATTTTTTGTTAGCTAAGCTCTTCACGATTTTGTTCAAATGCAATTACTTCTAGACCTTATTATTGTTTGCTGTGCTAGAAATAAAGCAAAGGGGTATAATTCCATGTAACGTGTATATGGAGTTCTTTTCTTCAATTATTTAGTGGTCGTTGCTGGCCTTTCAACTTTTTCTCTTGTGCTCCACGGCTGGGCCCCTAAATATCTCATGTCCTATCCTCTTACCCTGTGTTTGCCATAAGCAAACATCTCGGTTTTTTGTTTTTTTTTTTGGTAATTATTACCCGGGATGGCCTAACACACAGGAAAAGTCCCTAGCAACCTGAGCAAAATTGCAATGGCAATAAGACCTCTGTCACTTATCCTTAGGAAGTCCACCCGAATGAGGTCCCTTCTGGTCCTTACCTTATGCCCCGGCACTACGCTCAGTAATAGAATGCAGCAACAGGTCGTGTGCTTATACTGCAATCTAGAGATGGCAAAACGGGCTCGGCTCGACTCGGCGGGTCAACCCGCTAAACGGGACGGGACGGGCTGAGTTTTTCAACCCATCTGAAAGAAGCGGGGCGGGGCAAGGCGAGCTCATTTTTTGACGGGTTGATGGCGGGCATAGGCGGGTCAGTGTAAAATAGGCTGGGGCTGGCGGACCAACCCGCTAAACGGGGAGAGATGAGTTGAATTTTTCAGCCCACTTTCAAAAGCGGGGCGGGGCGAGCTGATTCATTTTTTGGCAGATTGATGGCGGGGTGGGGCGGCCCACCTTGCCATCCCTATTGCAATCTAACCTTATTGCGGTACAAAGTAACAAACCTTCAAAAACTAGAAATGGACTAGTTGATTCCTTTCTGCACTCCCTTACGATTGTTTCAGACTCAACAGTTTTAAATGCTCACTTAGCCACTGGGTTTTGATGGTAAAACTGATAGTATAAAACTGATATTTTAATTATTTAATAAAATATTTTTTTTAAAATCATTATAAATAAAACTGATAAATAGTCATAGTATTTTGATGGTAAAAAACGCTCGAACGGATAATAGCATTGTCCTGCCATTGGGTTTATAATAATCGTTAATGGCCATCATTATTGGTGGTCGATCACTGTAAAAAAGAAAATGCGCCCATGCTTTTAACGTGGGTAAGTGGAGCATATTTTCGGTATTTAGGGAGCAAGTATATTCTCTTTCTTAAAATGGAAAAAAAAAAAAAACAGAATATGAAAGGAAATAATTATAAAAAGCGGGTAGTATAAATATGTTTTCTCTCTCTCCATATTTGACAACCGAGTGCTTGACCACTTTTTTGAATAAAATATGTTTAAATGCCACCGAGGCAAGAAATTTTGCTAAAATTTCATGAATCCAAATTTGCTATAATTGTTAACGAATTTGATTATGTCATATGACACTTTAAAAAAAAGCCATAAAACTCGCTATTAATTATGGGTTTTCGTTTTATCCTTTAACATAACACAACAAATTTTCTTACACTCATAACATTTTGTGGGGCCCACACTTTTTAAAACAAAAATATAAATAAAAAATTAAGGCACGCAAAACGAATCTCTATAACATTACACTATCACTTTTCCTACAACATAACTCTTATAAAATCCATTAATTATAACAAGTTAGATGGTCAAATCAGGAGAGAAACAAATTCTCTGCAAGGTATAAATAAAATAACGAAGAAAGGCGTGTGACTCGCAGCATATTGCAGCGAGTATAACACCTTAATCTTTCTCTTACCAATGACATCACACTTGATAAACTTTCGTGCGTACAAATTCTTTAATAAATGGGTTCTTCGGAGTTATTTATTTGTATCATTTTCCTTTGGATCTATGGTCTCGTTTATGTTCCTCTTCCCCCTTTTCCCATAAAAAAAAAGTATTTCAGTTAATCAAATATACTTAATTGTGCAAAAAAAATTACTTGGAAAACATAAAAATATTTATTGACAGATATGGAGAAAGAAGTAAAATTGTAATTAAAAAATATTTTAAGAAAATAAATATAAAAAAACTTATTATAATTATCACCAATTATACTTACTATTTTTTATTATCATTTATATTATCGTTAAGTTAATATAAAAAGTGAGTGAAAGGTTATATCTGTTGGATATTAATTTAATCCAAAATAAAAATAAAAATAAGACATGGTAAATATATACTGATAATAAATATAAGCGACCTAAAAAATTAAGAGTTCGTTTGAATTTAATTTAATTTTTCAGTTCTTCAAAACTGGTTCATAAAATTAATTTTAAAAATAAAATATAAATCTAAAAACTGATTTAAATATAATTGAAACTAAAACTGAGAAGAATTTGAATTTATTTATAAAAATATGGTTAATGAATTTTTATAATTATAAAATTATCATGATAAAATAATTTAAAATTGAAAAGGAATTAAATTTATTTACCAAGGTGTTATTAATAAATTTTTATATTTACAAAATTGTCACAGTAAAAATAAAAAAAAATTACAACATTTCTAAAAAATAATTTTATTTTTATAAACTAATTTTTTTTTAGAAGTCATTTTTATAAAATAACGCTTTTCAGATAAATATTTTTATTTGTTTATTGTAAAAACTTAATTATTGTTTTTAGAAATATTAGACATTGGAAGAATTTCATCCAGCTTGATTTCTTTTTCTGTTTGGATTTTATTTTTATATTTTCCAAATAATTTTTTTTTGGTCACAATTAAGTATATCTGAACAACTGAAAGACTCCTTCTTTTTCAATTTTTTTTTTTTTTTTTTTTACGGGGAATGGGGGAGGAGGAACATTCATAAACTAGACCAGGGACCCATAGAAAAATGACACAAATAAATAACTCCAAAGAACCTTATAGTATACCAACATTTATTAAAGAGTATGTACAACAAAAGTTTATCAGGTGTGATGTCATTGTTTATTAAATATTATAGTTATTTGAACTATTATTTGACAGGTCATTGTTATGTAATTAGTGGAAACCCACATGTCTTGTAGATATAAATGTGTCTGTATACGTGTGTAATAGACACAAGTTTCATTTTACCCTCTTTTCAGTTTCAATGAATTTACTTTTCTCTCTCTCTCGTACTTTACTCTTCTGTTGTAATATGGTATCAGTTGATAGTTAATCTTCCGTTTCGTTTGCTCTTCTCCTTCGTTCGCTGTGTTTGGTTTTGTCTTCTCCATACCCATGGCGACTGAAACGATTTCTCCACTCACCGACGCGATTCCTTCCACCGATGCAACGAATTCATCAAGTCATGTTCGTTCTGAGGTTGAGAATCCATCGTCACCTTTCTTCCTTCATCATTCCGACAACCCAGGGCTTGTCCTAGTTTCGCAATTGCTCACCGGTGACAATTATAACTCTTGGAGTCGTGCTATGAAGATTGCTCTTTCTGTTAAGAACAAATTGGGATTTATTGACGGTTCAATCCCTAAACCTAGTGGAAACAATGCTGTGCTTTTGGCTTACTGGACCAGGAACAACGACATCGTTATTTCGTGGATCTTGAATTCTGTCTCAAAGGACATTTCAGGAAGTATTCTGTATTCTGAATCTGCTCTGGAAATATGGATCGAACTCCGAGACCGCTTTCAACAGAGCAATGGACCACGGATCTTCCAGCTTCGCCGCGATTTGATCAATTTGGCTCAAGATCAGACCTCTGTAAGTGTCTATTTCACTAAACTCAAGTCTATTTGGGAAGAACTTAGCAATTTTCGTCCTTCCTGCAATTGTGGGAAGTGTATCTGTGGCGGTGTTCGTAATCTTGCATCGTATTATCAAATGGAGTACACCATGGCTTTTCTCATGGGACTCAATGACTCATTTGCACAAGTCCGTGCTTAAATTCTCCTTAGTGATCCTCTTCCACCTATCAACAAGGTTTTCTCCTTGGTGACTCAAGAGGAAAGACAACGTCAAGTTGGTTCATCATCTGTGTCCTACTCCACTCCGGCAGCCACTATGGCTTTTGCTGTGAAATCAGATGTTCCTCCTAAAGGACTACGTAAAGAACGTCCTTTATGCACCCATTGCAAACTTCTCGGTCACACTGTGGATCGTTGCTATAAACTCCATGGATATCCACCAGGATATAAGCCCAAACCCAAGGTACCTGGAGGAAAGTATAATGTTGTCTCGGTGAATCAAGTCTCCACCAACTCAGTGGATAACTTTCTTCATGGATTAGATCCTACAAAATGTTCTCAGCTTATGCAGCTCTTGTCTACACATATGGCAAGCACAGTCACACTTCCTGATTCACTTGTTGCTTCTGCATCCTCTAACTCAGGTACTTTGTTTTCCACATCCTTCCCAAGTGGTATTATCGATCCACATTTATGGATTGTTGATTCTGGTGCTTCACACCACATATGTGCATATCCACATTGCTTTATATCCATGCGTCCAACACATGGTTCCAGGCTCACATTACCTGATAACACGACTGTAGAAGTACTCTTAATTGGTGATGTCCAACTTACTTCACATATACTGCTTAAGGATGTATTCTTTGTTCCATCTTTTCGGTTCAATCTTTTATCTGTCAGTGCAATCACTTCAGATTTAAGACTCATGCTCACTTTTCTACCTACATCATTTGTCATTCAGGACATTATCAGCAAGAAGACGATTGGCAAGGGTGAGAGATTTGAAGGCCTATACATATTTGATTCTACTTGTAATAATTCTGTTTCATGTTTTGCTCTTGTAAATTCTGTTTCCATAGATACATGGCATAACAGACTTGGCCACTTGTCACATAGATGTCTTTCTCATATGAAACAGTCATTGAAATGTATTGATTCTTTTTCAAATAATAAAACACCTTGCTCAATTTGCCCACTTGCAAAATAGAGACATTTGCCCTTCTTTTCACACAATAATTTGTCTCAATCTTCATTTGATTTGATTCACATTGATATTTGGGGACCATTGCACACCTCTTCATATTCTGGTTTTAGATATTTTCTCACACTTGTGGATGATGCTACACGATTTACATGGGTTTATTTTCTCAAGAACAAATCGGATGCCATCTCTATATTTCCCAAGTTCTATACCATGGTGCTCACACAATTTGGAAAGCCTATTAAAGCTATTAGATCTGATAATGCTAAAGAACTAGCTTACCATGACTTCTGCCAAGATCATGGAATTCTACATCAGTTATCTTGTGTTGAGACTCCTCAACAAAACTCAGTTGTGGAGCGCAAGCATCAACACATTTAGAATGTGGCACGTGCTCTATACTTTCAATCCAGACTTCCTCTATCATTTTGGTCAGATTGTGTTTCTACAGCAGTGTTCCTTATTAACAAGACTGTATCTGCACTTCTCAACTACAAATCTCCTTATTCACTTCTGTTTAGTAAGGATGTTGATTATTTTCTTTTACGTGTATTTGGCTGTTTGACTTTTGCATCCACTTTAGCAGCACACAGGTCGAAGTTCCAGCCAAGAGCTCGAAGGTGTATTTTCATAGGCTATCCTCCTGATATGAAAGCCTACAAGTTATTTGATTTAGACAAGAGGCAAATTTTCATTTCTCGTGATGCTGTGTTTCATGAAGATATTTTTCCTTACCATGATTCTTCTCATTCTTTAGTGGTGGATCCATTTCCCACTTTGGTTCTCCCACACAGCAGTCTTACTCACACTTTGGTGGATCCCAACCCATGTTTACAAGATGGTACCCCTCATGAGACAGTTTGCTCAATACCTCCTATTTCCAACACTTCAAATAATGAAGTTGATTTGTCTAATCAACATAATTTTGCTCCAACAGCTGAAGCTACAGATACATCTTCACTTCAGCAGCCTAGGAGATCTACAAGAGTTTCTAAGCCTCCAACATACCTACGTGACTTTCACTGCAATCTTATTACTGATTGCATTCCAAGTGCAGATTCGGTTCCCTATCCATTATCCTCAGTCATTGCATATGATTCTTTGTCTCCTTCACATAAACATTATGCTCTCAGCATATCTTCTCACTATGAGCCACAGTTTTATCATGAAGCTGTTCAATTTTCACATTGGCGTGCAGCTATGCAAGATGAACTTTCAGCTATGGAAGCTAACAACACTTGGTCTATTGTGCCTCTTCCTCCAGGAAAACATGCAATTGGATGTAAATGGATTTATAAAGTCAAGTTTAAAGCTGATGGCTCCGTTGAAAGGCACAAGGCACGGCTTGTGGCAAAGGGCTATACACAACAAGAAGGAGTGGATTTTATTGATACATTTTCTCCCGTTGCAAAGTTGGTCACTGTTAAAACTTTGCTCGCGATTGTTGCTTCCCAAAATTGGCATCTTCATCAACTTGATGTCAACAATGCCTTTTTAAATGGGGATCTTTTTGAAGAAGTTTATATGCAACTTCCTCTTGGTTACAAATCTGGACAAATTCCCACAGGATCTAAGGCTGTTTGCAAACTGCATAAAGCCATTTATGGTTTAAAGCAAGCCTCTAGACAATGGCATTCTAAGTTTTCTACTGTCCTTATTTCTCATGGGTTCACACAGTCCAAATCAGATTATTCTCTATTCACCAAAGGTTCAGGTGACAATTTTCTTGCTCTTTTGGTGTATGTAGATGATATAATTTTAGCCAGTCCTTCTTCTAACAACATCATGGCTATAAAATCTTTTCTGCAAACTCAGTTTAAGCTTAAAGACTTGGGATGTCTTAAGTATTTTTTAGGGCTGGAAATAGCTCGTGCAAAGAAGGGAGTAGTTCTCTCTCAACGTCATTATGCTTTGCAATTATTAGAAGAGACTGGCTTCCTTGCTGCTAAGTCTGCCCCTGTTCCTATGGATTCCAAGTTGGTGCTAAATAGTTTAGATGGTGATCCTTTGCAAGATGCCTCACAGTATAGAAGGTTGATTGGCAAGTTATTATATTTGACTCTATCCAGACCTGACATCACATATGCAGTCCATAAATTGAGTCAGTTTGTTTCTCAGCCTCGTACTCCTCATTTAAATGCAGTTCATCAGCTTCTCAGGTATATCAAAGCTCATCCAGGTCAGGGACTTCTTTTTCCTGCTTCATCATCATTTCAGTTGAAAGCTTTTAGTGATGCTGATTGGGGAGCATGTCATGATTCTCGAAGATCCGTGACTGGTTTTTGTATTTTCCTTGGTGATTCCCTGATTTCATGGCGTGCTAAGAAGCAAACCACTGTTTCAAGAAGTTCTGCTGAGGCTGAATATAGGGCCATGGCTGCCACAGCTGCTGAAGTGTGCTGGCTCACACAGTTACTAGTTGATCTTGGTTTCAGCCATACTTCTCCAGCCTTAATGTTTTGTGATAACCAAGCGGCTGTGCACATTGCTTCTAATCCTATCTTTCATGAGAGGACAAAACACATCGAGATTAATTGCCATTTTGTTCGGGAACAAGTTACTTCCGGGCGTATCAGATTAATGCCCATACGGTCCCATAATCAACTTGCAGACCTGTTTACTAAAGCTTTACCCGCTTCACATCTTTTTCCTCTTTTGCCAAGATGGCAGTGTTAGATATCCACTGTCCATCTTGAGGGGGAGTATTAAATATTATAGTTATTTGAACTATTATTTGACAGGTCATTGTTATGTAATTAGTGGAAACCCACATGTCTTGTAGATATAAATGTGTCTGTATATGTGTGGAATAGACACAAGTTTCATTTTACCCTCTTTTCAGTTTCAATGAATTTACTTTTCTCTCTCTCTCTCTCATACTTTACTCTTCTGTTGTAATATTGTTCAGAGAAAGAAAAGAAGAGAGAGACTAACGGTGCTATATTTGCTGCAATATGCAACGAGTTATGCACCTTTCTTGATTGTTCATACTTTATTCGTTGCAGCCTTGCAGGGTTTAGTGATTTTGTATCTCTTCTTCATGCGTCACTAGAAAATAGAAATACTAATAGATTTGGCCACTTAGTTATAATTAGTAGCGAGTTTTTTCATTTGTGGTTTTTTTTAACGTGTCACATGACGTAATCAAATTTGATGACAATTGTAGTGAATTTGGTGTCACGATATTTTGAAAAAAATTCTGACTTCTGACATTTAAGTATATTTTATACAAAAAAAAATGCCAAAAAAGTTGTTATCTCGTTTGATGACCCTTCTCCGAGACAAAATTCAGCGCCCAACCTTGTGGTCTGCCTAGAGTGATCAAAGAGGAGAAAGGAGAAAGAGAGCCAAAAAGTAAAAGAGGAGGCGGAACAGAAAGTTAGATTGTGTTTAATTGTGTTTTGATTTTTTTGTTTTTAAAACTGTTTTGTAAAATAATTTTTAAAAATTGATTTTTAGAACAAAAGAAGAAAAAAATTCGTTTGGCAAACTTATTTTAAAAAGAGTTTTAAAAATTAAAAAACAAAAAAATCTGCTTGATAATTTTGTTCTAAAAATATGTTTTCAAAACAAAAAAGCACAAAACTTGTTTGGTTAGTAATTTTTTTGTTGTTAACTTTTTTTAAGCATATGTAAAAAAATTATAAAGTCTTTTTGAAGACTAAAATAAATCATATTATAAGTTTTTTGGTTATTGTATTTTCAATTGCTAATAATGTCACATTCTCAATTCTCCCTTAATTATATTATTAATGTGCATTACATTATTAATATCACATTCTCATACTCTCGCGTTTGCATATCCATTTCCAAAATGTTGCATTCGTGCTTTCTAGCTAATGTAGCATTTTTGCTAGTTACATAGATAGTGGCAAAATCTTGAGGTCAATGCTAGCTGAGTGCAGTGTAATGCACAACAAAACTGAGTGTGGGGGTGGGAGTGTAAAAGAAAGAAATGTAGTTGAATCCTGAAATAACTCCTCATTAATAACTTTTGAATCCTTTTTTGAAGTTAAAGTCAAAATATAAATGTAGTTGCAGTCACTCATTCAACATCCCCTCAAAACCTTTAGTTCTCATTAGGCTTCTTTCTCACTTTTTTTTCCATAATTTCTCTCACTTTTTAGATATACCCAGATATATGTCTACCAAAAAAAAAGGAGCAAGCAAGTCATATTTACATCCCAAAATGGTCTACGCAATGATATTTATGGAGATATCTAACTCATGTCAGTATATTACTTCTCAGCTCTGGGTGATTTGATAAAAACCATATTCCCCTCGTCTCCTCTCAATCTTTCTGCAAGTAATGCAAGATTTAGGCTTAAAGGATGCTTTCTTTTCTCTTCAGTAACAAATCCACAAATGCATTGCTTACTTCCAAAGTACATTTGAATTAAAGTATTGGGGGACCAATACCCATAACATTTTTGAACAACAGAGTAAGTTGTCAGCCACCAATCATCCTGCTTAACAAAAAAAGGAAAACAAAAACAACAAACAAAAATAAAAAATACATTAATGGAACATAACAGTCCAATCCCTCAGCACATCTGTTAGGGAAATGCCATTAAACAGAACTATGTTTTTGACACATCTATAATGAACCTAAATAGTTGCTGGTGCTCCAAATCTTGAGCACATAGCAAAAGTAGCATATAACTATATACACATTAGCAAAGATGATCAGACCAAAGCTTGAGCAAACCAAAAAATACAGCCAAGGCAAAGCTAATTTGATCATAGTAAAGTTTAAACAAAACAAAAACTAAAGTCCTATCATAGCTGCCCCAAAATTAAAACCGCAGTAGTAGCAAAGTACAACATAATCTAATATAACCAAAAGCAACCAATCTGACCAAAAGCATCCAATCATGCATTCAAAGTTTCTTAATCAATTGAATCTAGCCATGCCTTTCTCCTATCAATAGACATAGCAAGAAACATTTCTCTCCAAGTAGGCTCCACAAATTTTTTCAAAGCCTTAATGTAGATGTCATTTGCACCGTCTTCAATCTCTTCAAGGGCGGCCACACACATTGTAATGTAATAGTCTGTAGAGTATTCTGAAGAAGTGGCCCTATATTTCTCTACTCTTGCAAAAGAAACTTCTGTTTTTGCTTTAGATGCTTCAGCCCATGCTTGAAGTGCATCTGCCATTTGAAATGTTTTAGACTCTTTGTAAGACTTACGTTTTCTTGCTTGAATTTTGTGTTTTCCCCGACGTGTGATTTGCTCAACTGTTTACAAGTCATCATCTGAACTATCTTGATTAACATCTACGTGAACACCATTATTAAGGTATTGATTTTCAAGCTCAAGTTCTTCATTTGTATTTGGTGGGTCTTGGGTAGATGAATGACAAAGTACTCCGGTTGCAGTACTTCTATTAAGTAAAATTCCTAATAACTTGTAATGTTCACATCCTTTCTTTTGAAATTGAGCAGCATCTGGATGCACCTAAAATAGTAAAATATTGACAAAAGATAAGTAAACCGTATTATAGTCAAAGGATATTTAAAATGATGACAATTAAGTAAAACCATAACCTTACAAACAAAATATTAAATGTACCCGAATGTAAGACTGCCAAACTTCTTCACTAGCCATGACAGTGTTGGTTTTCGCATCCCAACCAAATCCAGTGTATTGCAAGAGTAAAGAGAACTCATGATGCCTAGTTCGTAGTCTATGAAACTTTTGCTTTATTTGCTTGATACTAAAAGACCTATTACTTATGGAATTCAGTTTATATTTTATGGAATTCCATATTCTAGTGTGAAAAATACCATTTTGCATATTTCCTTTGGTGACCTCATCAACCATAATATGAATGTAATCCTTAATTATTGAATCAGGCCAGATCTTCGCATCATTTTTTTTAGCATTAGTTTCCATATATTATATGAACAAGCATTGAAAGTAAGTAAGCATTTTCGAGCCAATCCGCGAGCCAATTTTTGAGCCAACTCACGAGCTATTTTTTCAAGCCAACCCACGAGCCAACCCTAACCTGACTCAGGTCGGGTTGGGTTGGGTTGAATTTTCTGGCTCTTTTTTTTTTTCGAGCCAACTCTAACCCGACTCGTTTTTTTCGAGTGGCATGTGGGTTGGGCCGGGTCGAGCTGGATTGTCCCGTTTTACCAACCCTAATCATACACCCTCAATAGCTTGTTTAGTTTCATATCGTTTCTCATGATAATTCTTTTCATTTTTTAATTTATGTAAGCAAAAAGTTCGAAAAGCCTCGTATATTTACTCTTTCATTACTTATCTCCTTGTATTTTTTTACCACTTAGTTCCCATGTGACTTATTTATTATCCATGAGAACAAAAATAGACAGATTAGCACTACTTAATTGTGCTAAAGGTTAATTTGAATAAAATCCCACAGCAAAAGTAAATAAGAAAAAAGTACAAAAAATAAATTATTATTGAAATTTTTTTATAGTATAAAATCATTAATATACTTAAAAAAATTTAGTTGAATTAATTACTTTACGGTTTTTAATTCCTCCATGGTCTCCTTAGTTTTGTATATCATTTTCTTTGCGTTAGCTGCATTGTAATGTTTTCATTTTTTCTAAACTTAAAGCATTATGAATCCAAAATAAAATTAAGTACTGTAATTAAGATGTATATGTTATATTTAAATTAGATATTGTAACTATTAATAAAGAATTTGAATAAGTATAAAAGTAACAATAAACCATTGATTTGAGTTAATTTTTTTAATATTTTAATAATTTAATAAAATATATTTAAAAAAAATCATTATAAATAAAACTGATAAATACTCATACTACTTTGATGGTAAAAAAATGCTTAAACGGATAGCATTGCCCTGCCATTGCCCATTGGGTTTATAATAATCGTGAATGGCTATAATAATAGTGGTCGATCACTGTATGTAAAAATGCGCCCATGCTTTTAACGTGGGTGAGTGGTTGGTAGGGTTTGATCACCCTTCTCGAATGGTAAGTACAGACATGTGAAATAGGATAAGGGTTGAAGAACAAGCTCGTGATCTCGTGATCTCACTTTACATTACGCCAGGTTTTGATTTGTCCACTTTTCTTTTAATATTATTTATTGAGGTTGTGATTTGTCCACTTTTGTTTAATCTTATTTATTGAGTTTAATTAATTTGAATTTTTTAAGTCATTTTTTTTTGTAGATAAAATTTTAAGTGGAGTTAAACACCTAAGTCATTGTTTTTTTCGTGAACTTCTTCTTTCTTTATGTCATTTTTTTTTCAATTACAATTCAAAATATACGATTATATAAATAATTATAACATTTTCATTAATATTTATATAATTATTAAAGAAATGTAAAACCAATTACGATTACATACTCATAAATAAGTTATTAAATTCTTGATAAAAATTTCAAAAAAAATAATAATTTTTTTAAAAGAGTACAAAAGTAAAAATTTATATTTATATGTATACTCATTCAATTTGATCTTTTATGTAAAAATAGAAAAATATTTTTATTCAAATAGTTTTAAATTAAAGGAAGAATAACTTTTTATTTCTCTCCTGTTTTTTAAAATTGTCTCTTATTTTTTTACTTTTGAATTGTGATATTGAATGAAGTTGAAGACTTTGTAAAGGTCATCTAGCGCCAGGTGTATAAATATCGCTGGATGATGTATGAATACGAAGATAACGAGGCTCCCCAAAATATAAATATCTCTGTACTCGTACGAAAAGCTTAAAAGTACTGAAATTAGTTGTTTAATCAGAAATCAGAATCATGGAAAAATGCGCCCATGCCTTCCACGACATAGTTGGGTTGGTGAGGGGTGATTTGATATTGGTAGCTTCAAGAAAATGTAAAATTTTATTTGTCTCAGGTATAATATTAAGTGTTATCTAATTAAAATTAATAAAAGAGTATAATGATAATTGACTGTTGAAAATGTTATTTAAAAAGGTAACTGTTGATAGATGCAGTTACAAAAGAGTAATGAGAGTTTTCTTTATAAATGGGTTTTAAACAAAGCTATGTTAACGTGAAACTCATAAATTCTAAAAATCTGTTTCATGTCCTTAATGTGATTGTTATTGAACATGAATTATTGATTAATGACATACATGTGATATCAGAGCATGTGTTTAAGAATTTATGTTTTTTTATATATAATTATGAATGAATTCTTATTAATTCATGAAAAGTTAGGATTTTTTGAAAATCTACTATCATCCTTGAAAATAAAATAAATGGCTTTATTTTTTCGGAGCACTGACCTGGGCTTTATGATTTTTCCATATCTCGCACTTTTCTAAAATCAAGATACAAATGTCAATCGATATACTGTTTGAGATTTTCTGTGCGTTGGAAAAGTGAATTATTGGATGAAATTTGCATTCGGTGTAATGAAAGTGCACTGTAATATCATTTGCATTCGGTTGAATTATTGGAGGGAAATCATTTTCTTACGTAGTTTAAGATTGTTTTCTCATATTGTGCGGCATCGAAATTCGTACTATTTTCTTTTTATTTTTTATTTTTAACAAATAATGGGACCTACCACTTGTTGAGTTTATAGCATATGTGAAATGAAAAAAGAGAAACCCATTATTGGAAACGTTATGAATTATTGCATTCGGTTTGGCAATGTGCACTGTGTGTTCATATTTTAATGAAGAGTTTTCGTTTTATCCTTTAACATAACACAACAAACTTTCCTACACTCATAATATTTTGTGAGACCCACACTTTTTAAAATAAAAAAATAAATAAAAAATTAAGGCACGCAAAACGAATTTCTATAACATTACACAATCACTTTTTCTACGTAATAACTCTTGTAGAACCGTTTAATGAAAGTTGCAATGTCATTCTCGGTTTTCGTGTTCACATTTGATTTTGAAAAGAATTTCGATTATCAAAGCCGTTTTTAAATTGTTCCACATTTTGAATGTACAGTGGGCAAGATTTGGTTTATCATTTTTTTTTATTTAATTTTTTCACGATTACAAATTCATTTGTTATCAGTGGGCACAATTTACCGTTTATTTGATACCGTGGGCATGATTTTCAGAGTATTTGTTATCAGCTCCAATATTATTGTTTATGAAATATTTTAGTATTGAAATTAAATATGGTAGATTTGTTAGTCAGTGACCAAATCTTGAAAAGTTATTTTAATTTCAAATATTATGATTTTGTTTTAATTACTATGACTGTGATGCTATGAATAGTATGAAATAACTGTTCATGTTGTGGTATATTGAAGTTCATTATTATAGGACAATTAAGAATCAACCCAAAAGATGATTATTTGTTTTATAGTAAATGAACATGGACGTTGGTATTGTTGGTATACTTCCTTGCATTTGGACATTCAAAGATGACAAATATTTCTGATAGGGGTATGCATCATTGCCAAATTATATGAAATTACAAATAGCATCATTATGGTTAATGTTGTATGTTAAGGGATCCACAAAGGTGAACATTAATATGCATTGAAGTTAGTATATTTGAATCTGTGAAGTATGTTAGTATGTGATATGTATGACTCAAAGCATTAATGTTTTAAATGTTATTCCTCGCAGTACCTGTTGCCACACATTCCATGTTCTCAACTGTTGCAGTTTTTAATGGGCTGAACTTCTCTGAATGGAAAGAGCAAATCCAATTTTACGGGTAATGGATATGGATATGGCTCTTAGAGAAGAGATACCTGGTGCTGTTACTCCTGAAAGCACTGAGGATGAAAGGAACCATTTTAAGAACTGGGAAAGATCCAACAGATTAAGTGTGATGTACATGAAAATAAGCATTGCAAGCAACATTAAGTAAGCTCTTCCACAAACTGAAAGTGCCATAGAAATGATGAAACTTGTGGAAGAACGCTACCAAACTGCTGATAAGTCTCTTGCTGGGACACTTATGAGTACACTGACCACCATGAAATTTGATGGTTCGCGTACTATGCATGAGCATGTTATTGATATGACAAGCATTGCGGCAAAATTGAAATCATTGGGAATGACTGTGGATGAAAATTTCCCGGAGCAGTTCGTATTGAACTCATTACTGTCTGAGTATGGTCCTTTCCAAATGAACTATAACACCATGAAAGATAAATGGAATGTGCATGAATTGCACAGTATGCTAGTTCAGGAGGAAACCAGACTCAAGAATCATGGAGCTCATTCCATCAATTATGTGAAGCATCAAGGAGCTGAAAAGAATAATGCTAAGAAGCATGGGAAGAAAGGAGGAGGAAGACCCCTTAAGATGAATGAGGCATCTTCTTTTAAAATCCACAAAAAGGAACATAATGCAAAGAGATGTCATTTCTGTAAAAAGGAGGGCCATTTCAAAAAGGATTGCCTGAAACGTAAGGCTTGATTCGAAAAGAAAGGTAAGCTTAGTGCTTATGTATGTTATGAATTCAACCTGGCTGAAGTTCCTTATAATACTTGGTGGATTGATTCTGGTTGTACTACTCATGTTTCTAATACAATGCAGGGATTCCTTATGACCCAAACCACAAGGCCAAATGAAAAGTTTGTCTTTATGGGCAATAGAGTGAAAGTTCCGATGGAAGCTGTTGGGACTTACCGTTTGATTCTCGACAGCGGATTTCATTTGGACTTATGTGAAACTCTTTATATCCCTAGTATATCTAGGAATTTAGTTTCAATTTCCAAACTTGATGTTGCTGGATACTCTTTTAAATTTGGTAGTGGTAGTTTCAATTTGTACAAGCACAATCGTTTGATTGGCAATGGTACTTTATGTGATGGATTATATAAATTATGTCTTGATAATCTTTATGCTGAAACTCTTATGACTCTGCATCATAATGTTGGTACTAAACGTGCATTAATTAATGAACGTTCTGCTTACTTGTGGTACAAACGTTTGGGACACAT